GCATTTTGGAGGAAAATATTATATTTTTTGAATAGGCTAGTTTCACCACAATGAATGTATATATATGCCATTAGATGGATCCTGACCCCCATATCCCTTTGACAGGGGGGTAGGGGCAAATATTGTAAAAATTTGAATTATCACATTTTTTCGGGCCGAAGTTGTAAGGACCGGGGTGGTTCAGCATTTTGGAGGAAAATATATTTTTTTTTTAATTGGCTAGTTTCCCCATCATGAAAGTACATACATGCGATAAGATGGATCCTGAACCCTATATCCCTTTGAAAGGGGCGCAGTGGCAAGTATTGAAAAATTTGAATTATCACAACTTTCGTGCCAAAATGGTAAGGGCCGGGGTGGTTCAGCATTTTGGAGGAAAATATTTTTTTTTTTAATTGGCTAGTTTCCCCATAATGAATGTACATACATGAGATTACATGTATCCTGAACCCTATATCCCTTTGAAAGGGGCGTGGGGCAAATATTGTAAAAATTTGAATTATCACAACTTTCGGGCCGAAATTGTAAGGGCCGGGGTGGTTCAGTATTTTGGAGGAAAATATTTTTTTTTTTAATTGGCTAGTTTCCCCATAATGAATGTACATACATGAGATTAGATGGATCCTGAACCCTATATCCCTTTGAAAGGGGCGTGGGGCAAATATTGTAAAAATTTGAATTATCACAACTTTCGGGCCGAAATTGTAAGGGCCGGGGTGGTTCAGTATTTTGGAGGAAAATATTAATTTTTTTAATTGGCTAGTTTCCCCATAATGAATGTACATACATGAGATTAGATGGATCCTGAACCCTATATCCCTTTGAAAGGGGCGTGGGGCAAATATTGTAAAAATTTGAATTATCACAACTTTCGGGCCGAAATTGTAAGGGCCGGGGTGGTTCAGCATTTTGGAGGAAAATATTTTTTTTTTTTAATTGGCTAGTTTCCCCATAATGAATGTACATACATGAGATTAGATGGATCCTTAACCTATCCCTTTGAAAGGGGCGTAGTGGCAAATATTGTAAAAATTTGAATTATCACAACTTTCGGGCCGAAATTGTAAGGGCCGGGGTGGTTCAGCATTTTTGAGGAAAATATTATATTTTTTGAATAGGCTAGTTTCCCCACAATGAATGTATAAACATGCCATTAGATGGATCCTGACCCCCACATCCCTTTGAAAGGGGCGTAGTGGCAAATATTGAAAAATTTGAATTATCACAACTTTCGGGCCGAAATGGTAAGGGCCGGTGTGGTTCAGCATTTTGGAGGAAAATATTAAATTTTTTGAATAGGCTAGTTTCCCCATACTGATTGTACATACATGCGATTAGATGGATCCTGAACCCTATATCCCTTTGAAAGGGGCGTGGGGCAAATATTGTAAATATTTGAATTATCACAAGTTTCGGGCCGAAATGGTAAGGGCTGGGGTGGTTCAGCATTTTGGAGGAAAATATTATTTTTTTTTAATTGGCTAGTTTCCCCATAATGATGCGATTAGATGGATCCTTAACCCTATCCCTTTGAAAGGGGCGTTGGGCAAATATTGTAAAAATTTGAATTATCACAACTTCGGGCCGAAATTGTAAGGGCCGGGGTGGTTCAGCATTTTGGAGGAAAAAATTATATTTTTTGAATAGGCTAGTTTCCCCACAATAAATGTATATACATGCCATTAGATGGATCCTGACCCCCACATCCCTTTGAAAGGGGTGTAGTGGCAAATATTGAAAAATTTGAGTTATCTCAACTTTCGGGCCGAAATGGTAAGGGCCGGTTTGGTTCAGCATTTTGGAGGAATATATTATTTTTTTTAAATTGTCTAGTTTCCCCATAATGAAAGTACATACATGCAATAAGATGGATCCTGACCCCCACATCCCTTTGAAAGGGGCGTAGTGGCAAATATTGAAAAATTTGAGTTATCACAACTTTCGGGCCGAAATGGTAAGGGCTGGGGTGGTTCAGCATTTTGGAGGAAAATATTTTTTTTTTTTTAATTGGCTAGTTTCCCCATAATGAATGTACATACATCCGATGAGATGGATCCTGAACCCTATATCCCTTTGAAAGGGGCGTAGTGGCAAATATTGAAAAATTTGAATTATCACAACTTTCGGGCCGAAATGGTAAGGGCTGGGGTGGTTCAGCATTTTGGAGGAAAATATTATTTTTTTTTTAATTGGCTAGTTTCCCCATAATGAATGTACATACATGAGATTAGATGGATCCTGAACCCTATATCCCTTTGAAAGGGGCGTAGTGGCAAATATTGAAAAATTTGAATTATCACAACTTTCGGGCCGAAATGGTAAGGGCCGGGGTGGTTCAGCATTTAGGAGGAAAATATTATTTTTATGCCTCCGCCACTGAAGGTGGTGCCGGAGGCATCATGTTTTCGGGTTGTCCGTCCGTCCGTACGTCCGTACGTCATTTGTATACGTCCGTCCCGTTATCACAATATCTCAAGAACCATTTAAGATTTAAACTTAAGACTCGGGAATAGTATTTATCACCATAGGAAGACGATCTGATTAGATTTTGGAGTACGTAGGTCAAAGGTCACAGGTCACAGAGGTCAACTTATGATGAGTTTGTTAGCGCGATATTTTGTCTGATCATGTTACAATTACATTCACGTTTAAGCAATAGATATATTGATTACTAACCAAGAAACTATGATTACTAACCAAGAAACAATATACATATTTAGTATATATATATGTGTACGAGCCTGTGTAACTTTAAATGTTACTCTTGAATACACTTCAAATGATCATGCAATGTGATGAAGTTAATACAATTGAGAATAGAATATACCTAATTGGTAATATCGATATATATTGGTATTACCTAATTGGTAATATCGATATTGCCAATATCGATTATGAAGTATCAATCAGTTTATCACTGGTTCTTCTACATGCATACTTTATTGCCACGTACTGGATATGAAAGAGTATGCGGCAGGTCTGCAGCAGGTCTATATGCCTGCCGCCTACTCCTGCGGCAGACTTGCCGCAGATCTGCAGCAGACCTGCCGCAGACAGTCATCTTTTTCACATGCAAATTAGTTTTGCCGCAGACTTGCCGCATACTCTTTCAGTATGATGAAGAGTCTGCGGCAGGTCTGCCGCAGACTTGCAGCAGACTTGCCGCATACTCTTTCAGTATGATGAAGAGTCTGCGGCAGGTCTGCCGCAGACTTGCTGCAGACCTGCCGCATACTCTTTCAGTATGATGAAGAGTCTGCGGCAGGTCTGCAGCAAGTCTGCGGCAGACCTGCCGCAGACTCTTCATGCGGCTGAAAGAGTATGCGGCAAGTCTGCGGCAGACCTGCCGCAGACTCTTTATCATACTGAAAGAGTATGCGGCAGGTCTGCGGCAGACCTGCCGCAGACTCTTCATCATACTGAAAGAGTATGCGGCAGGTCTGCAGCAAGTCTGCGGCAAAACTAATTTGCATGTGAAAAAGATGACTGTCTGCGGCAGGTCTGCTGCAGATCTGCGGCAAGTCTGCCGCAGGAGTATGCCCGGCCCCCCCACTCAGGTTTCAAAATGACCGCATGCGTGTTGCCAAAATGTCCTTTTCGTAACAAAAGAAAAAGGTCGAGCCGTATTGACTTTACACACCGGACTTTTGCTGAAAAGGGGGGGTGCGGAAAAAGGCTCGTATACAAAAGAAAAAGGTCGAGCCGTATTGACTTTACACACCGGACTTTTGCTGAAAAGGGGGGGGTCGGTTGGAACACGCATATGCGTACCCTAAATAACACTAAGTGGGGGGGCCGGGGGAGTATGCGGCAGGCTCATTTCTTTCCTATGGGATATCTCAAGAACCATTTGAGATTTAAACTTCAAACTTAAGGATAGTATGTATCACCATAGGAAGACGATCTGATTAGATTTTGGAGCACGTATGTCAAAGGTCAAGGGTCACAGAGGTCAACTTATGAAATTCCATACATTGAGATTGTTATCATGATATCTCAAGAACCACTGGAGATTTAAACTTCAAACTTAGTGATAGTGTGTATCACCATAGGAAGACAATCTGATTAGATTTTGGAGCACGTAGGTCAAAGGTCATGGGTCACAGAGGTCAACTTATGAAATTCCATACATTGAGATCGTTATCGCGATATCTCAAGAACCACTGGAGAATTTTCACTTCAAACTTAATGATAGTATGTATCACCATATCATAATATCTCAAGAACCACTGGAGATTTAAACTTCAAACTTAATGATAGTGTGTATCACCATAGGAAGACAATCTGAATAGATTTTGGAGCACGTAGGTCAAAGGTCAAGGGTCACATAGGTCAACTTATGAAATTCCATACATTGAGATTGTTATCATGATATCTCAAGAACCACTGGAGATTTAAACTCCAAACTTGTTTAAATTGCTTTATGGCGGAGGCATCATTTTCGACTGCACGCAGTCAAAATTCCATCTAGTTAAGCTCTAGCTTTTAACCCTACTTTTGAGACAAAACCTTGAAAACTCCCTGTAGGCCTATATAAAAAATTGACCCAACTCGAGGGGGGGGGGGGTTAATTCTATATCCATTCTTGGTATTATGGAATATTATTATATTATATTATATTATATTATGCAATATGTCCTGGATGGGGACTTGATTTTGAACATCTTATAGAGAGAGGTGATAAGGTGCTATATAAAAACCCTGATAATTTGTATTTATCCAAGTGTGAGAGAGTGATCGATCGAAATCTTCTGGAGATATGCACAGACTATTTGATGTGTCTCTTGGAAATGTGGATGGACATGGATTGTGTCTATATGCAAGGATAACAGCAGAACAAACAATAGAGGTCTTAAAAAAATAAGAGAAAAGTTATAAAGGGATTTGCTGGGTGGGGGGGGGGCATAATAAAGTTACAGAGTTGTTTGATACATGAAGATGCAGATCAGAGTGGTGTTTAGTGTCCCTTTTATAAAGGGACACTAGTGGTGGTTAGAGTACCTACATAAATATATGGTATAGCGATAGCGCCATCTGTTGACACTATTACACCAGTAACAACAAGTTGGGTGTGTAATCACTGCACTGCTAGCTGCACTGACTTGTGTAGAATGGTAAAAAATTCCGATCAGCTGACCATAAAAATGTCAAGTTGACATAGATCTAGATCTTACATATTACAGCTTCACCTGAACTTATTGAACTGCTTTGAGTTTGAGAAAGTTGCTCGGCTCTGTAGACGGTATACTAGACGTTAGCCTAGACGGCTCTTCTTCACTGAACTTGCTTCAAGGACACACTGACACAGCAGAAGCAGCCAGAAGTGACCCGTGAACAAAATGACATCTCCCGCTCTGTTAGATGATACCACCCCTGGCTTTACAAGGGATATCCGCATCATTTCAACAGCAGAAGTAGAGAAACACACGGTATGTAATTGTTAGGGCCTAGCTTTCCCCTATTAAATAGCAGTATGACTTGATCAGTTGATTATAAATAAGCAAACGTTCTCAAAATATATTTTCTTCATTAATTAAATAGATCTAGACCCTAGACTACGAAAACATTTCTGTGAACATGCCAAAAAAGGCAAAATTTACCATAGCTTAGCTGTATTTAACCACAAATAGTTTACCAGAAGAATGGTGAGACAGCAGTCAAGGTTCCATTAATTCAAGGTCTATTGTCTTGATCTACATGTATCTTCTTCACTTTGAAGAACTTCTTGTACTCCTTCTCTTAATCATTCTCATATAAAATATACCGGTAGGCCTAGGCCTAGAGAAGTAGAGTCTACAACTTTACAAGTCGGTTAGGCAGAGGTGACCAAAGTTCATGGACATCTAAAAAAAAAACCAAATGTATGGCAAAGTTTTTTACTACAAATCGATTCAACTAGAAAATTTATCGTCAAAGGATTCCGGAGACATCGCGATCTAAAAATTTGATGTCAGATCGGCGTGCGTGCAAATATAACAGTCATAAAAACAACAAGACCTTACTTCATGCACAGGGCTTTGCAGATGATTTATCAAAGAATGTGATCCATCAAAAATAAGGTTATATCATAATTTACAAGGCGAGATATCATTATCATACAATTAGTTGGTACCGATTTTTACTTACAATTTTGAGGATATATCTGCTCTAAAAAATGTAGATTTCCAGACCCTTATCGGTAAGTTGATAATTTTTCAGAACGGACGTAAATCATTTAAATGACTGCAAAGTTTGCTGATCTATTGTCAATATTTTCACAATTTTGCACCTAATTCCAAAGAAAATTTTGTGATTAGGTAACTTTTTGATCCTCTATCCATTGGTGATATCAGATTTTCGAAATCTTACTAATTTTTTTGAGTTAGCGAAGTTAGGTCATGCGTGAACTATGGTGACACCACACCACGATAAGAGGTAGCGTCTTGACTGCACAATACGAGCGCGAGTATTGAGAGACATAACATGACACTATTCCTTCGAGCAACGATCATGCCTGGTTTTGAATGTGTCTATGGTGGGGGCCTCAACTACTGCAACTATTAAATAATAAAAGTAAAGTTAAATAATGATATCAAAAATTTATAATGTTAATCCAGGGCTCCAGACTCTACTTCTTGTTTTGGTATCCCATTCTAATAATAAAAACGAAGACCTAGATCAAACAATTCAAAGTTGGGTTTCAAGTATGCAAATTACAATTACTTTTTGTGACGATAGATTTTCTAATTTTTTTTTTGAAAACTAGATCAAAATTATTCAAATGTACTTAGTAATGCCTTCAGGGCGATCCGGGTGGGTTGGGGGGGGGGGACACATCCCCCCCCCCCCCTCACCGAAAATTTGAAAAAGTGCCCCCCAAAATGTGTAGCAAATACTGACTAAAGACTGCAGCACATTATGCTCTGGAGGGCCCAAGAGTTCAGCGTTTAGACTAATAAAAATGCAAACATCTTCTCGCTCGTTCGCTACTTTGTAATGTTTCCTTGCATAATATCCTTCACAATGTACAAGTAAATATTGTAGAAAATCTGTTAACAAAACTTCAAAAACCTGTTAGGGGGGGAGTCATGCTTCTGCCTCTCTTGTCGCTATGTTCCCTCGTCCCTCGCATTTTGTCCCCCCTGGTCGTGAAGAGATGAACAGTCGCCCCTGTACATTCGGCTCCCTATCATAGGATTGAATTTGATGAAAAAAACGACTACCAGTCTATACCAACATATTCTCTGGACCTGGATTACCTTGTACCATACTCAGTCCCATTTCTTGCAAATGGTGATGTCTAGATAATAGCTAGGGATTGGTCCAGGGTAGAGTGCATTTAAAATGAATACAACAAACTTTTGATACTCTATTTTCATCTTGGAAGTGCCCAATTTGTGGCAGAGTATATTTTGAAAGACCCTGAATCAAGTTTTCTACGGTTTAATTTTACCTTAATTTTATGGTTATTTTACGTCTACTAAAGCTATGGTTAATATTCGTTGTTGCACTAGACCAATGGTAGTGATAATAGTATAAGAGAAACCTCATCAGCATCAATGCTGTCATTTCATAGGGCCCCTGCATTTAATAGTACTTCCAGAGATGCCAACTGTTCCGTTTTTGCCGTATTTGTTCCGTTTTTTCGCTGTGAATACGGCAGTATGTTTTTTGTATGTTTTGTTACGTTTTTTAAATTTAATTTTTTTTTTTTTTTTTTTTTTTTTTATTTATTTATTTATTTATTTTTTTTTTTTTTTTTAGTAATGTTTTTCTTAATTTCTGATCATGGGCTTTGTGTCGTAAGTGTATTATGCACCTACATCTTAAAACGATGCACGCAGGATGGTGATACGGGCCCCAAACTGCGCACATTGCGAACAACCCACATGTAATGTATGCACGTCGCGCTCCGATCCGGGTACGTATACGTGGTACTGCTTGGTTTTTTAAGCTCCTCGATTGGGCGATATGTTAAGTTGAGAGATTTTTTCAAAAATACTGTTTTTTGTCCAAAAATACTGTTTTTTGCTCTTAAGAATACTTTTTTTTGTTGAAGAAGGTTGGCATCTCTGTACTACACCATCAATTGCAGAGTACCAATTTACACTGTCTTGGATGGAGAGTGGCATATAAAGGATGTTTGTTCCAGGTTGGGTTTCATACCTGCAAGCAACCCTTGGATTGAGAGTCAGGCGAATGAACCACTATACCACGATCCATCCACACAATACCTTGACACCTCTATGGCCCGAATTCACAAAGGAGGTTTACATTTAACCCATGGTTTCAACCTTCATTTACATAACCCATAGTTTAAAATTAGCACAAAATAAGCGCAACACAGACAAGAGGTCCAATATTAGACGTATGCAGTGCAAGGTACGCTTATTTTGCGCTAATTTTTAAACCATGGGTTATGTAAATGAAGGTTTAAACCATGGGTTAAATGTAAACCTCCTTTGTGAATGTAGGCCTTTATAGCTATGGATCTAGGAGTGTGTTGACTATTGAATGGACAAAAACAGAGCACAGTACATGACCATACTAATCAAAACGTTGGTAAAGTACAGTTAACCCTGAGTATACCAACGCCACTGAAACAGAAACAGAAACGGAATGAATTTATGTAAATTGGTTCAAGTGTTGAAATGCTGATATTTTGCTGGAGTTTAGCCAAAAGATTTATCCATAGAAAAGAAGTCCTCTCTTTCACAGGAAACTGAGCTCACTCACTCACCCTACGGTTGACCTTAAAAGGACATTATGACAGGAAACCAGATGTGCATTATGCACTAAAACAACAGCTCTAAAATTAAACGTACCTGTACATGCCCTGAAGCCAACCGCACGCTATAAGATCCTCCTGTGATCTGATTTTCAAAGAAATGGCAATTATAGACAATTGGAAATTTCATCCTCATGATTTGAATAATAATAAGAATACTAGCAATTGAAATCTTGTTGTATTTACTGTTTTTGTTGCTTCAAGTCAGAATAAAATCCAAATCAGCTTCAAATCGTAGACAATCGCACTCATGGTGTGACATCACTTCGATTCTGAGCCGAGTTAGCTTTTTCTTCTCAAAGGAAGCCTGAAAATTCCTTAAAATTTTGACATTGCTAATCATATACATGTATGACTACGCAGATCCTCGGTCACTATGACTTAACAAGTTTAAATGTTTATATCAAATGCTATTGCAAATACTTTCAAAATTGGATCGTAGCCAGATTGTATAGTGTGCGTTGGGCTTAAAGTTCCTTAAACAGTACACACACATATTTGAAATCCTATCTCTGCATGATTCTTCATTGAGTCACCTGACATGTTACCAATGAGAAATGATTAAGATTACATTCAAAGACATGGCTTTTGTCATTAGCCATGTCATATATACATTGTATTAAAAATAAACATCACTGTTTATTGTTAACGTAACAGCTTTTCGAAGTGTTAGGATATGATTCTCATGATTGAGAGGCAAATTGTTTAAATTTGATGATGTTGAAAAATTAATACCCAATGGCCATAATGATCTGCAATGTACGGAACATCTACTAAATGAGACTTACCAGAAGGTTTATAATGAGCTCGTAAGAATCATTGTGCAGCAGTTGGGAGATTTCAAATAATCAGAGTTATCATGATTCCCTATTGTGGCAATTGAAAATGCATACATATATAAAGTGATCTTTCTAAAATAAATGGTTTGATGTGACTTTCCATGGAATTTCTTGTGATGGCTGGTAATGCAATAAAAAAGGCACTTATTATTTTTCAAATTTTGGGCATAGTCATATATGATAATAATATGAAAATAAGATTCCCATAAAAAAAAAGGTGTTAAGATTACTGATCAGGGATATACTAAAACCTATCTCGCTTTTCATTTCCTACTTTAGGTATACACTATCCAGGTCTGTGTAGATGACTGCCAGTGGACGGTCCAGCATCGCTACAGCGAGTTCAATGATCTGCATGAGAAGCTCGTCTCCCTGGGCAGGGTGGAGAGATCCCTGCTGCCACCCAAGCGTCTCCTCGGCAACATGTCAAAGAGCTTCATCGAGAGACGGCAGCGTGACCTGGAAGCTTACCTGCAGAAGGTCATCAGCAGCAGCCGTCTGCTGCCAAAGCCGCTGCTTCTCTTCCTGGAGTTTGATATCTATGTAAGCATTTAGATTGACCAGGGGGGCGTTTCACAAAACTTGTCATCATTGACAAATGACAGTTTTTGTTATAAGCTACTGAAATCCTTGCTCCTGATTGGTTATCATCAGATTTGTCACTGATTTTGTCATTTGTCATTGAAAAAAGGCTTTGTGAAATGCCCCCCTGTTCATATTCTGTATAGTAATTGTCAAAAATATCTACTATCAGTCCTTGATGTGTCAATCACGTGCAGCTCTATTTTTTCCTGGTGCCTTTTAATTGTACACTTCAATAATTTAGTCTAATAATCTAGGATGCTAACTGAGATTTGAAATCCCAGTTTTCTGTAACTAGTGTCAGCTTTCCAAGACTTGTGAGTTGTGTATGTATTGCATGGACATCTGATTGGTCAAACTACCGGCACACGCAATAAAAAGTTACAATTCACCAACACCATTCTGATCCATACACAGAAAACAAATAATATTTTCATTCTCATTTCTGCCCTTCCAGATATGTTTAGTAGATAGAGTGATATTGTCTGTTTGGAGCTACAAGGGCATTGTACAGTAACACAGAGTTCACACATTTCTGGCAAGCTCTCTTTTTACACATATCAATTTTTTTGCGTCTGCAAAGTATATTTTATTTTTTATTTTGACACTCGACAGTACGTTGTATGATTATTTTTAGGATATCAATGGGGTTTCACAAGCTTTAGCTGCAGAGCTGTTTGAGAAGGGGGATCTTATTTTGGCTAGCCAAGATGTATGCGAGATGACACCTATGCAACTCTTTGCTATCACAGAAAGACTCAAGTTACCGCTACCTACATGTGGTGAGTTCCTCTAAACCTATTCTGTTTTTATGATTAAATTATTTTATATAAATTATGTACATCTCAGTATTGTAGTATCTGTAGTCATCAGCAGCAGCAGCAATGATGTCGCTGTTCATCATTTAGTTTATCTTTCCATCAATAATGAACCTGTTTCAACTCGTTGAATATAGCATGATGTGAATACAACACACATTTTCTATAAACACAGCCCAAGTCATCTTGGGCTCAATAATATGTAGGAGGTTTATATGTTGATTGATTCCTGTGTACCACATTTGACAGTTTATGATAACAATTAGTGCTGTAGTCAAACGTTTAACCGTCCGGTATTCGACCGCCCATGGCGGATTCCGTTTTCAATTGGTAGGTTTTTCGTTTTCCCTTTTTTTAATTTTTTTTTTAAATATTTTTTTTTTTTTTTTTTTTTTTTTTTAAAGTTTCGATTTATGCCCCTCCACCTGGCACTATGCCTGGCAATGTCTCCCAGCTCAGTAATCTGTGTGTTGACTCACCACTCCGAAACTAGAACAACACTCCAATTTGTCTGTCATCTTGGTTTGAAAGTAATCTTTGTAATAGATCTCAATATGTAGTTTATAATAATAATTCATCCAATTTTTACACAAGGCGTACCACAAGATTCTTTCCTAGGTCCTTTACTGTTTTTAATTTACATTAATGATCTTACTCATTCTTCTAAAAACGATTACTATTATTTGTGACAAGTTCACAAGCACAAATCGGCGCCTTCAACTGCACCTCGCGGTTAAAGGAAAGTCCTTCCTGCTTTTTCACACAGACCTGGCTTGCTGCCGACAGAGTTGGCCAAATTTTTTTTTTTTTTCAATCGTTTAACCGAAAACCGTCCGGTTTTGACTGGCGGTTAAACGGAATTGGAGATATCCGTGATGTTACAGCACTAATAACAATAGGTAGCCAGTATTAGAATTGCAGAGTGCGTTATAAGGTTGATGATAATGGCTTCTCATAATCATCCATTTCAGATCTTAATAAACGATCTACAAACGACTCTGCTACCATGTTAATATGCATGTCGTAGCATGATTAAAGAAGATCTTTTAATTATTCTGATGCCTATGCTATAAAATGTAAGTCAATCCTTGAAAGAAAGCTTGAAAGAAGGGCTTCCAGAGATTAATCTTCCTCGTCATGACTGCAGTGCCGGTCATTTTTAACGCCAATGTCATCATCTCCTTTTCTCTTTGTTTCTTCAATCCAGATTCGGATGATGCCCACAGTGACATTGGCCATATCATGGATTTCATGTCCAGGCTAAGATATCTCAGGGTAAATCTATTTAATATTATTTAGACACTGAACAAAATGTTAAAAAATTTCGGGGGCTACTTTTCAAGCTTGCTCGCATGAAAATAACACTCTTTAATTTGTTTTGCATTGAACTCTATGCACATTTTGGGGGCTCTTTTTGGCATTTCGGGGGCTAATTCGCCCCAAGCCCTCATGTATTTTTCCCTGTTTAGACACACTTAACTATGATTGGTTGATTGGATGGTTGATTTGTATTTGTGTGCTTGTAAGTAAGTAACTAGGGGACCAACGGCTTTAAATCCTCTCCGAGGGACCAGTTAATGAGGATTAATGCCTTACCAAAGGGCACCAGCGCATCAACTTGATTTTGAGCTGGGGACCTCCTGAGTACGAGACCACTGCTTTACCACTGAGCCACCATGCCTCCTTATTGTTGATATTTATTTTTTCTTCTCAAATATCAGTGCATATACATGTATGTTCCAAGGTATAAGTTGAAAGGGAACAGATCACAAGCAAAGCGAAACCTGGAATAAACTTGAGAGAAATTAGTAAGACCAAGAGTGGATACAGAGGGCAAAAATGCATAATAGTCTATAATGAAGAGGGAAGAAGGAAAATGTGTACAATAATGTATCTGATTGCCTCCCAAGTTCTTCTATTTAGCGATTCCAAATTGCTTCTTAGCATTTGTTGTAGTGATAATTTTGTATTTGTGTATCTATGATTAGTTGAATTCTTTTTCTTTCTGTCCGTAGATTGTTGGATCCACTACCAGGCTTGGGTCCAGCACTCGGAAAGTTGATGAGTTGCCCTTTGACCTCTCCTACTTCAAATCAATTAAACATCTCAAGGTAAAATTGAAGTACTTTCCCTGTTGTTTTAATGACCAGACCTCCCCCCCAAAAAAAAAAAAAATAAATAAATAAATAAATAAATAAATAAAAAATAAAAAAATTACAATACTATTTCTTGTGTTTGTTGAAAACTGTTTGTAAAAAACATTTTTGGAGATTCAAGACCCAAATGACTTTGATGTTTGTACTTATGCAGCTTGAATCAGATTTTTTTTGTTTTCTAAAGCAGGATCATTCACTTATTAAACTTATCAATAGATATGTGGTGTTAAAATCTGTGAGACAAGTACTTCTAATTTTTCAAAATAATGTAACTATATATATATATATGTAATAGTTCAAAATTTTGCTTACCGTATATCTTTATATCATCCTGTTCAGGGTTTGACCAATTATTTAAATCATGGTATAGCCAAGTAATTGTATTGTCCATGTAAACTAGCATCTACACTAACATTTTTTCCTGGGTGTGCTGAAAAAAATACTTAGGGCCCCAAATATTTAGCATCTCTGTCCTCCAGGGCATCATTTACATTTTGATAGAGGGGGATCTAGAGTGATTTTCATTTTGTTGTTGTTGGTTGAGGTACATATGTACAGAACTTTCTTGGCACGGGTAATCTGCCAACCTTATTAAAGTTGTGATGGCCGTTTCTATCTTTCCACCAGATTGAGGTTTGTAATGCAAGGTGTATATCAGGGGTTGAAGAAGCAAAGACACATGTACATTTCTTGACTGTACACAAGTCTTTAACTTCAATACAGGTAAGCTTCAATCATATTTCATTTGCTTGTTTCAAAATTATATGTATGTACATTAACTTGTTCAGAAAAGTTTCTTCAAATATTATGTAAAAAGCTTGTTTTGTAACATTTCTTATTAAATGTGTGTATGACATGGTGACACTTAACTGTAATAGGAAAGAGAAATGTATATTTGGAATTGTAAATTCTTGTCATGAGATGTTCACCAGAAATTCAGTTATTTCTTTGATTATCCAATGTGTGTATGGTAAGCCTTTTGACAAAAGAAACCAAGCATTGATGGCAAGATAAGAGTAGCACATGTTTTTGTTTTACTCTAGCCATGAGGCCTTTTCACAGTTGCTTGGGCCAGCATGATTTCTGTTGTTTTGAATTTCACATACTATTTTGGTTGATGATATTATACAAATTGTCTAGGTCTGATCATCAATAAACATTTCTGTCGGAAAGTACATTTGTTTAATAAAAAAATAATTATCTTGTAGTGATGACTAAATACGTATCATATGTTCTATTATTTTTTTCAGGATATTTTACTGCCCAATCTCACTCAGTGGGAATCTCTAGCCAGCTCCAGTGGTCAAGATGTAATGGACATTGTCCCTCCATGGAGTCGGATCAAGCTGGTAGATTTCAGCTACAATGAGTTGACTGATATAGACAAGTCAATAGTAAGTCCAGCATTGTGCCATGTACTGTTCTCTCAGGGTTTAATGGTGCATCAAGTTAGATAAAGATGTTACAGATTATATGTACTTTAATGTGAAAAGTGATCATCTACAAAATTAAGTGTAATGTTTATTGATCTTTACAAATGTGGTGGTAGTGGTGGTGAATGGGTATGAAAGCAGTAGTGGATATTGCTGTTACAGGGGAGTATTTCACAAAGATCCCGAGTCGAACTTAACTCTAAGTTGGACTTAAACATTATGGAGAGCCATTTGTAGCCTTAAAATAAAATATGTTCAAAAGTGAAAATTCAAGTATTTTAGACTTTTCATAAATTCTACATCAAGAACATGAAATCTCCTTGGTAATAGAAAATATGAATGATTTAAATCAAGATTTTATGCCTTTTAAAATAACTTTTACCAAATATTTTCATAGATGCCAACGGCTTTCCATAATTGTTAAGTCCAATTTAGATATATGTTCAACTTAGGATCTTTGTGAAACACCCCCAGGTCTCATTTCATCAAGTTATTTTAATGCATATTTCAGCAGCCATCTTCTCAGATCAATGGCTTTGCATTACCAATGTTCAAGTATCAAGTATCATTTATTTCCAATTCCAATTAAAAATCATATACATATAAATGCATACACATATTACAATGTAGAAGTATACAGATTCATATGACAGTATGGTATTAAATACTTACCATATAATGCAATACATTTTCTGAAAAAACTTCAGACTGATTTCATTCATGATTCATTGCCATAGCTATTTGTTATCATGATCATCATGATAATCATCAGCGTTTAAAGTCCATTTGTCCCAAATCATGGGGTTGGACATTTCATTTCCTTAATGTCTGTGGGATTCAAACGAAACCGTTTTTGTTTCCTCCGTCCAATTCATAGTGCCTCTTGCCCAACGTGGAGCAGCTTGACCTGAGTCACAACCAGCTACGCTCCATCAGCCACCTACAACACCTCTCTGCCATGACCCATCTCAACCTCTCCTACAACCAACTCCACTCCCTGGACGATATGAACACCAGGCTGGGTAATGTCCATACTCTCCTACTGACCAACAATGATCTCTTCAGTCTCTACGGTCTGGCCAAACTCTACTCGCTGGTCAAGCTGGACGTCAGGTCCAATATTATAGAACATGTAAGTAGGAAAGAAAGGATGGGGGGGGGGGGGAAGGAGAGAGAGAGAGATCTAGAGATAGGCACACACAGAAAGGGTGAAGTACAATTAGGAAAAAGGATGTAGACTTATCATGTATGCACTCACATGAATAATATTATCTTCAACCATACACGGATTGATGGTGATGCAACATAAAATCCAGGTTTAACTCCTCAAGGATTTAGGTCAAAACTGATAGTCTTTGGACCAAATTTGAAGTTTTACTTTGCCAAAGTTGTAGGGTTAGGGGTAGAATCTGATATAATAGTGTCGAGTCCAGGGTTAAAGTTAGCAATTCAATTAGTAGAAGGAAATGACTGTCAAGCAATCGTTGCTGGAGCATTTAATTACACAATCTATCCCACTTTCTCCAATGGTTTCCTCCTTTCCATACCCACAGGTGTTAGAGTTACAACATGTGTGCAATCTTCCTTGTCTGGAGCAACTCCTTCTGAGTGGGAACCCTGTTACCAACGTGGTAGACTACCGAACCAAGGTCCTGGAACTCTTTGAAGAACGCTTCACAGAATTGAGTCTCGATGGTCACAAGGCCTCCGAGAAGGAGAAGGTATGTTTATCCCCTTCAAGTGCTTGAGGTGTTTAAACTGCCCAGTTTTTAACTGGTTTGCAATCAGACCCTACATGAATCTAAACAGATTGGAGAATTTAAGTGTACTTTGTGGATTATGTATATTGATGATTTGTGTGTTGTCACAATACCAGAATCTAGTTTGGAGAGCTTCAATCTAGGAATTCCACTTCTTTCTTGTGTTGAAATGTGTCTATGTTTGATTTCTATTCACACCAGGGGGGGGGGGGGGGGGGCATTTCACAAAACTTGTCATCAGTGACAAATGACATTTTGTGTTATAAGCTACTGAAATAGTTGCTTCTGATTGGTTATCAACAGATTTATCACTGATTTTTGTCATTTGTCATTGAAAAAAGGCTTTGTGAAACAGGTCCCATAAGGCTGTCAGAACAGACATTACCTGAGGCCTGAATCTTCCAGGCCTTAATCTGTTTCTCCTGATGATAAGCACTGATTTTACCATCCCCTCTGTCTGTCTGTCTCTCTGTCTCTCTCTTTCTCTCTGTTTCTCTCTGTCTCTGTCTCTGTCTCTCTCTCTCTGTCTCTGTCTCTCTCTCTCTGTCTCTGTCTCTCTCTCTCTCTGTCTCTCTCTCTCTCTCTCCTGTCCTGTGTGTTTGAATAACAGGATACAGTCAACATTCTGAAAGCAATCAAGAAGTCTAAAGATTACAGGCCTTTTGTTGGATCAAAACACGACTCACCAAAGGTAAAGGTTTCACAGCTTCTGATGCTTTGATTGTTACTGAATACCATAATATTGAATTCTGGATTTCTAAATTATTTGTACAACAAGTAGAATGGAACTAATTCATATGCATTCCACAGGTAATATATCACAGCAGAACACTTCAAACACTTTTTAGTACTAACCATGTGTATGTGACCATATTTGGCTTGTTTTTGTTTTCCATAAGTTTTCTTATTGAATTAAAAACACCTCATTTATCTATTAAAGCTGGATTATTTTTAATACGCCTCTGCCACTCAAAAAACCACACAATCTTAATTGTACATATTTCACATTATTATTTGACTTCAAGCACCATAGGAAGAGCTGGCTTCAAACTTATTATAAGCAAACATCATCATAACAAAATGTTTTTTTTAATTTGTTTTTATTAATTCATAAATTTTCATAGATTTTTTTTTCGGGGCTGGTCAGTTTGACATTAATCCAATTTAAATCAACATCATTCTTCTTAAATTAGATATATTTTAACCCTTGATATCATTTCATTTTCAAACATGGTCCTTCAATGTAGTTTCCTGGCTCATGATTTCTATATCCTCAATGCCACATTTTTTGTTCGCTATATATTCAGCAAGTTTTATTTCATAGAATACCTATTTATTTGTACGCCTTTAACTCATGCACCAATCATAATTTTGTTTTGAATGTTTTCTTTAAAATGCTGGTTTTATGCACAGAAAGTAGTCCATGAGGCAGCTATAGCTGACCCCAGTGCATCAAAGCAAGCTTCTAATACATCGTCAGTGGGTCCTAGTCTAAACGGTAAATAGCACTAATTTTGTTTAAACTTTAATGCCATCTTTCTCTGTGGAGAGTTGGGTTGTCTTTTTTCCATGTTTATATTTCTTTGTTGTTTTAATGCTCTTTACATGTATCTGTTTATTTTGATTATGCCTGTATGTTCCATATTCATTAACATACACATAATTATGCACTATGCAGGCATGTCACATACACTGATCTGCACAAACAAAAAGCAATATGAGAATTGTACAGTACAAACGTTCAGTGCAATCTGAAAGCTCCATACAATGACCGTTTCCAGCTAACTTGGTTTGAAATGTCACAATATAATTTGGAACCTTTGCAAAATCTACCTGTTGATAAGAACAATGTGTCCCAAAGAACTTATAGATTGTCTATATTCTATTCCTATGAGTGCCATTTTACTTGCTTTGTACTCATTCTCTACCCTGCTTTTTCTTCCTTAATCATTATATCCAGTGCGATTCCCTTTTGCCCCTTCATTTTGCATCGGGAAGCAATCATATCGTCTCAACGGTTGATTCATTTTGTTTCTCTTGCAGGGGAAAGTGCTGAATTCAAAGCCAAAGTAGAATCTCTGCGCAGGCAAGGTGGTAAGGCGTGGCTTAGTATATTTAATGAGATGTCTGATCCGGCAGAAGGAGAGGCTTCAGCTGCCATAGCAACCAAAGAAGATGGGCAGAAGAAGAGTGGGGAGAAAGGAGCAAAGAAAGATAAAACAAAAAGGTAAAAGTTGCTATTTTTATCTTGATGTAGTTCTAAATGAAATTATAAGCAGACTTCAGACCTTCAGTCTGTATCAACTGATTGTCTTTTATTCATCTATGTTATGTGAAGGCCATTACATTCAACCAAAGCCCAACAACTGACATGTTAATACAGCTTGTGATAAGTTAAGTGAGACACAAGTAAAATTGCTGTACTTACACATACATGTTTTATTGATTGTCCAAAATTAAATTAAGATTTGCTGTCATTGCTAATTTATTATTTTGTATTTAAAACCTAGTCGCATCTAGGAAGTTTTTACATGTTCTCAAAGTGAGGTAAATTATTTTTTAAATTTCAATTTCCTTCCAGAGCAAGATCAAGATCCCGCTCTCCACGGCCCAACCCTGCTTCAACAACAGAAAAGACACGCCTTGTGCAGGAAATCAAGTTGAGTCCTAAAGCATTTGCCTATCATGTCTTTGACGAAATCAGTCGACACAGCCAGGCAGATATCACAGACGTACCCACCGTCTTCTCACAGCTCACCATGTACTTTCAGGGACCTAACCTCTTCACGTACGGTCCTCGGCACAAGGCAGCTGGCATGCCCCCTCCGGATATCAACGGGCCTACCCTGGAGGGACACCTGAGTCAGATGAGCAAAGAGGAGCAGGAGGAGTTGATAGAGTTGTTAAGAGGCATCGTGGATGGAACTGTACAGCTCTCCAACAAGTTCCCTTCCCAGTCAGAAGCAGAGGAGGTTTGGAGGCACATCCAAACAATGTTAGGCAGGAGTGATGCGAGGGAGAAGGAAAGGGAGGTGGAAAATGCTTGTGAACCTGATGATGCAGCTCCAGTCAGACCTCAACTGCAAATCAGCCATGCTGCTGATGGTTGTGCCAGTGAGGAGAAAGAAACAAAGACATGGGATGTTGATGATAGTAAAGATCTATGTGTTAATGAGATAGCTTCTAAAGTTGAAGAAGTGAGCATCATCTCCGAGGCAGATGAGGAGAACAAAGTAGGTGATGCGACAGAGTCGTCGTCATCTACTAGAGCTGAGGAACCATATGAAACGCTGCTGCCTCAAATGAAGTCAAGAACCTTAGATAATCAAGATATTGAATTTGGGGAAATGATATCATCACCTTCCATTGTTCCAGGAGCTCCTTCTTTGGTCTTTGTCCCTGACTATGACCAAACAATGATTGATCATCTATCATCCTGTGGGCTAAAGAAAGGTCTCAAGCTCTCTCCATCAATGCAATGTCTTGCCACGATGTCTGCCAACGAAATGATCAAATACTTTCATGAGAATGTCACGAAAATGGGGGTTGACACGGAACATCTGACCCATGTGATATGGACAAAGGTGATTACCTATGCAGTTCCTAAAAAGGAGATAATGTCTTGTGTTATGCTTAGCTCTATAGCACTCTATGTGTTTTCAGATCAGACATTGAAGTGTCATCGGGAATCCTGGAAGACTCATCGTCGGATATGCAGTGACTCTGCAGTGCGGAAATCCAAACTCAAATCAGGAAGACCCGATCAGCAATCTCACGCCAGTGGTGTGATCCACAGTTCTTCAGAGCTGGAGGCAAACAGAGTGTGCTGCCAGCATGTCATTCCCCTCAGGGACATAGACGAGGTGGTGGTGGGTCTGTTTGACCAGAAGATACGTGTGACGGGGCAGACACCAGACAACACCCTGACCCTGATAACCAGAAGCTTCAAGGAAACACACAAGTTTCAACAGCAACTGATGCTCGCTCTGCCACACCCAGAAAGTCCTCGTAAGTCCGATCAGAGACCAGGGTCACCCATCGACCTCTACCAGGAGGCAATGAAGGCGAGACAGGAAGCAGTCATCACAGAATACAAACATCCTGCAGGTGTCAAGTTTGTCTATGCCAACGAAGAGACAATCAGTGACTTGACATACCTTGTTGTGGAGAAGGTTAAGAGTCCTTCCTATGGTTTCCACGATGTCCACCTTCTGATGTACATGCTCCTCCACCAGGTCGGTGATGTTGTCAGCAACAACGACTATGTTCCACCATCCATTGAAACAGCACCTCGTTACCCTAGATCACTCATCATCACCAACACACACGTGGCACTGTGCCATGAGGATCATGTGTGCTACCCGATCCCCAACTTCTCCAAGCTGCTACCTGAGAGTCCTCAGTACGCCATCAGTGACGTCCAACCCATCTTCAACCTGAAGCGACTGGTGGTGAGCGACTTCTCCTCCTGTGACATCACCCTTATCTTTGAGGTCATCAATGTGGAGGTGGACATCAGCAGAGAGTACTTCACATCAGATGATCTGCAGGAAGGTGAGAAGCATCACACACCGGACATCGTCTGGACCCTGGTTCTTCCATCTCTTGAGGACAGGGAGAGATTGATGAAGATGATTTGTGGACAGTGGAGGGATAAGCACAATAAGGAACTCTCTATTCAGGTCAGTGCATAAAACTGAATGAGATGTCTCAAGCACAATAGACCCATGGAGTGATTCTATTGTAGGGCAGGTCCAAGCTATTTGGATTGTGACGTACGGGACATTCAGAGACTTTAAACAAGAAATAACAACAGATGAAATTATTTATATGGCTATCTTTTGGTATGAGTCTGTGGCTATTATGGGCTAGTTCATTTGTGGAAAGTTTTAGTTCTGACCAACTCTTTAATTAATTTTTAATGTAATTAATGTGCTGCGTGACGTACGGTTTGCAGCGTCCAGTACGTCACGCAGCACATTAATTACATTAAAACTGAAAGTGTCTGTCAAGTTATTGAAGTATTTAAAAACTAGATGGAATTCGACTGCGCGCAGTCGAAAATGATGCCTCCGTCATAGAGCAATTTTACAAACCGAAACGGAAGAAATTTTTCAAATTCAAGTTCAATTGTAATCCATTTACATGTTCTCAGAATATCGTGATTACAAGCAATTTCTCATATACATATATGACCCTTTGATCTTTGACCTCATGACCCTAAAATCTACTCAGTTCATTGGCTCTGCAAGATTTCCTGAGTTAAATAGTAATCCATCTGTCAGTTCTAATGAGAATGCGTCCACAAGCTATTTTTGCATACATAATGAGCCCATGACCTTTGATCTTATGAACCATTCATTGGCTCTGCAAGATACATAAATGATCTAAGTTTGGCAGGAATCCATCAATCTGTTCTTATGATAATACGATCACAAGCTATTTTTGCATACATAATGAGCCGCATGACCTTGACCTTTACCTCATGACCCCAAAATCTAATCAGTTCATCAGCTCTGCAAGTAACATACATGACCTAAGTTTGGCAGGAATCCATCAATCGGTTCGTGAGATAAGGCGATCACGAGCTGTTTTTGCATACACAATGTGCGCTGTGACCTTTGACCTCGTGACCCCAAAATCTAATCAGTTCATTGGCTTTGCAAGATACATACATGACCAAAGTTTGGCTGGAATCCATCAATCGGTTCTTCAGATAACGCGATCACAAGCTGTTTTTGCATACATAATGAGCCCTGTGACCTTTGACCTTTGACCTCGTGACCCAAAATGTAATCAGATTGTTTTCCTATAGTGATACACACTATCACTAAGTTTGAAGTTTAAATCTCCAGTGGTTCTTGAGATATCATGATAACAATCTCAATGTATGGAATTTCATAAGTTGACCTCTGTGACCCTTGACCTTTGACATACGTGCTCCAAAATCTAATCAGATCGTCTTCCTATGGTGATACATACTATCCTTAAGTTTGAAGTTTAAATCTCGAATGGTTCTTGAGATATCGCGCTAACAAACTCAATACAAGGAATTTCATAAGTTGACCTCTGTGACCTGTGACCTTTGACCTACGTACTCCATAATCTAATCAGATCGTCTTCCTATGGTGATAAATACTATTCCCGAGTCTTAAGTTTAAATCTTAAATGGTTCTTGAGATATTGTGATAACGGTCAAACGGGACGTACGGACGGACAACCCGAAAACATGATGCCTCCGGCACCACCTTCGGTGGCGGAGGCATAAATATAATGAAAGAATTGTTATTGGTTCTGAGATTATCATGCTTGTGCACTGGCATTTTGTGTTTGAAATAATATGATGTTTGAAGTCCCTGGTATTGTTTAATGTTTATGTTCCCTGATTATGCCATGTTTGTGCTCAAAGTTGTAAATCTTTGATATTATAGTATTAATGACTGCTTTGAGAGAAATATTTGTTTTTATACGCTCAAGGGAAGGTTAGAATTGTGCTATTGTCCCGAGGCGTGCCGAGGGCAATAGCCCAATTGTAACCTTCCCGAGAGCGTATAAAAACAACTATTTCTCGAATATTAAAGCAGTCATTAATACTTTTATATGCCAAAAAAAAAAAAAAAAAAAAAAACTTTTGTCGAAGATGGGATTCGATCTCTTGCGTACCAAGGTGATGAAACGAAAACCGCCGCCTTAAACCGCTCGGCTATCGCGCTCTGTTACCATACATAGCAGTTTTTTCTTATATATACATTAAAATGGATTGAAAACGGCTTCGCGTGGTGGAAGCTTCGCGGCTGCTCCATTAAACAGGCCCTTCTTTTACTTTTGCAATGCATATTGGCACGAATTTAGATCAAGATCTATCGGCAGATGTTGTTTTTTTGTTTTTGGAAGTTTATTTTCGTCTTAATGTCAACAATGCAAGATAAAATTGTCGGTAAGATCGATCGAGATTCAATTGTATTGAAATTACCGACCAATTCTTCGCACACGTATGGTATCCTCGATCGCTCAGACCATTTTTTAACATGTAAACCTATGGGGTAACCATGGAGACTGACCTATTTTCCCAATAACCATGGTTATTGGGATTTTGAACTGTTTTTTAACCATGGTTACCAGGAATTTTCGGGAACAGTTAAAGTTTATGAATGCAATTTCGACCAATCAGATTGCTGGATTACTTAAGTGAGGTATATAAAGTTCTATATTTTATATGATATTTATCTATAGTTAGTTATACATTTTTATTTTGTTATGGAGTTATGTGACTGTATGTATATTTTACACAGATTTATTTCCTGGGTACTGTGCTAGAAGAAATTTTGTACAAAATAATTTTTGAATCAACCACCGTTTCTTAAATATACATTTATGCACATGTAGTATCATAGTATGTGTGGCTTAAATTGCCCATATATAATGAATTGGGAAAGTCCAAGAAAACAAGAAATACAACAAAACAACAAATTCATTTCAAGGAAAACTTGCTTTTCTCTAAAAGAACATGTTTTTATGCCCCCATGCATACCGAGTACTAAATTGGCATGTATTATTTTGCCACTGCGGCATCGTACTACGATCTAAAACTGAAATAAAGACATGGCGATATTATATTTGGGAGATCACACAAAACAAGATCATCTGTATGGAAATGAGAAAAGTGCGTTTTTTTAAATGCCGATATGATTGAAGTTATTATTTAACATCAATGGTGTTTAGGTTGAAAGATAATTCATTTTTGAGTGCATTTGCCGAAGAAACTTAGACAATATGCAAAATAAGATTAAACAAATTGTCTTTGTTACCGGTAATAGTTTGACATGAAACTTTCCATCTTATTTTCTTAATTTTTTTCTTGATAACACATTCATACATAATTAAGCCGCAGATGAAGATGCTTGTAAATCAAACTTGAAGTTTTCCAGTTATCTGCTCGCATTGTATTAATCAGAAGCCAAGGTTATTTATATTTTGCTTTCCCTTTTATATGTTTATATAATATTATATGTAGTGGGATATTTTTTACAAAAGAATTTAACAATTTAAATTTGCATTAACCATTATGAACTAGGATGGTATCCGTCACAAATGGATGTTTATGTATTGAATGGAAAAACTGCACTTTGTAACAATTGCAATGTTTTGCCATTGACAAATAGAAAAATATTCTGCCAAACATAAACCTGTGCAATCAGCTATAAAATTACGATTTTGCTTTAAACCCACATTTCTGTTTTGTAAACTGGGTACTGTGCTATGTAACATACTAGTACTTAGTACTGTTTATATGATCATTGTCATGAACCATATCTTCTATTATTAAAGGTAAAGACCAGTATGCTAGATGATCAACCTTTTCTGATGGATTCCACAATGTTTCTTTCACAATGCAATCGCATGACCATAACTGGTCTTTATCTTTAAAATATATTATCATATTCAAAACTGCAACTAATATCTGAAATTGTAATGAGCTCATCAGTGTCACTGCCCATATTTTGGATTTTGAGGTAAAATCCACCTCCTTACAAATTGCTTTTATTCAAAGCAGAAATGTCAGGAAAAACATTTATTTCTTTTTTAATCAGGCATTATTATAAATGGTTATGGTATTTTAATTTAGTGCAGATTTTTGCCTCTTGGAGACAAATTAGAAACTCAGACAATATTTCATGAAATCGTGGAACTACTAACCATATATGGATATGTCATCTATTAATTCTGTCTCTATAAATGGGATGATTACATAACTTTTTTTTAAATTCTGATTCTCGGAGTTTACTTCTTTTGATCAAGCCAACATATCTGGGGACTAGATTTAAATATTTAATTTAAATATACAAGGTAGTACATTTTCAGGTAAAGTTTATTATTTTGATACTTTGTTGTAAGAGAATCTGCAAATTTGTAATGTAACATTCGATGTTATTAAAATATTGTATTTACCTAGATTTTTGCTCAGACTTATTTTTATACCTACGTCTGTTATTCCATCGATTTCTACCTTAATAATTGAGGATTGAACATACATGTATTTTTCTTCATTTTTGTAGAAGCATATAATGAGCTGAAAATTTTATTGCATGATACACAGAGTGGGCTAACTAGCATACACATGACAGGTTCCAGGGGGGGGGGTATTTTATTAGGGTTCTTGGAGGATGTCATTCAATATGATGTTTCTTTTAATCTGAAATATGTTGTTTCTCGTCTAGCTGTCACTGTTCTCTCCAACTTCTTTCCTCTCTTCTCTCACTCTAGACTACAATACTCTTACTCCACTATTTCTCTCTTTCCTTCCATTCATCTCCATATTTGATAATAAACACACCAAAATAATAACCATTCAAATCCAACAAAATGATAATTATATTCCTTTTCATCATTGTTTATTGTATTTTTTTTCTTTTGACCTTTTAAATATTCAATTCATGTTTTAATTTTGTATTAAAGGACTATGTACAGATCACACATTCATTCTCTGATAGTAGAAAGAATGAATAAAATGAAGAAATACATAAAAGACTTCAGAAGTATGATGGAGTCCTCGGTCTTTTGCAGCATGTATATAGACCTGTGGTACATTGCTAGAAATGTTGTTTCAAGAACTGATCTCAATTACAATAAGTGTAATATGGTTTTACTTGTAGGTGTGATGCTAAAGTTTCAAATTTTCAATTTTATTAAGTTTTGTTTGTAAAAGGAACATTGAAAACAATATCCCCACAGAATGTATGTTGAACATGTCAAAAAAAGGGTAATTATTTTCTTTTGTGTCCTAAAGCTATGATTTTGAAACTAAAATTAATTATCATGATCTAAATGTAATTATTAACCATGATTCATTAGTGAAAGATCTCCATGACTGCAGCTTTGTAAATGCAAATTATTCTCCCACAATATCTTCAATCATTTAGCAAAAATAATTCATTTGTGGCAGAGGAGTTGCCAGTAGTCTTGATATGAAGTCCATGATAATATTCATAACCATTTTCTTTGCTAGTTAATAATCAAGCATGAAAACTAGTCCAGTTACAAATGGTCATATACTCCACTACAATCAACAAACCTTATTCCCTCAAGATAATGCAGTGATAAACACAAAATACTGTCACAGTTTCAGCCTTATATTTCATAAGCAGCATAGAAACATAAGGACCAAATAGTAGAGCTACACACTGACTGGTAATAAACTTCAAAGCAAGTTTAAAAAACTCACAAGCTCGTTCCACAATGAGGTGGGAAGCACCATAAAAAATGCCCAAGATAAAATACAAATTTCTTGTAGGAATGGAAATATTCCTCACAGATCCCATAAAACTTGTTCTAGTTTGTCACTGGGGCATTTTCTGAGTTGGTCTACCACATGCCCCAATCATACTGCCAAACTGACTCCACACCAACCAATACTTGGCCAATTCAGTATTGTCTTTAATATTGTCGGTCCTGTAGGTGTGATTGTGGGTTGTTGTGTGATTGCAGTCTAGTTTAATACTGTATAATACCCTGTTGCTGTTCTGGAAATGCCTTGCATGGCTCAAGCAGCAAAGATAGAGGGAGAATAGACCAGTTTACTAAATAATCAAATTTTATATATCCCAGTTCTTCTAAACCAAAAGTTGCTAGTGACAACCAGGTGAACAGATCATTACATAAATGCATTTAAATTCACAGACTCTATTTAAACAGCAAACAGCCTAGACTTATGTTAAGTAACAAAATTATTGCATTCAAATTATTGTACATGCATGTTAAAAGTCAGAATGCAAAATTGCGTACAGACTTTCATTCTATCTATGCCTAGTTTGAGTTAGAGTTAGTCCATACCCAAGTCTGGGTAGAAACCTCTTTGAATTTGAATATTTTAGTAAACTGGTCTTTTCTTTCACAAACGTTTAATCGCAATCATAGAAGTCTACATGTTTATTTGTTTACCAAATTAATATTGACTGACAAGCTTGAAGATTGCTGATGGGAGACATTTTCACTTTGGGATGTGGCCTTTGTTGACGTAAATTTTATGTCAATAATTGCTCTAATGTGATATACATTGATAATGTCAAAGCAATCCAGAATCTGGTACTGACTGGCTAAAATCTATTCTCTTTGGCAATATAATGTGACATATTTTCAAAGGATTGTAGGTTTTCTTTCACAAATATGCTGACAGAGACACAAAGTAGATCATTAAACACAGTAATGTTAAAATGGAATTACGTGTGTATACATGTACAACTGGAAGAAACACAATATGACAACGAACAGTGAGCATTGCAAGTTGGCTTTCAAAATCGGCATTAAATAGTCTCACTAAATATTCGTAAAAGAAGAAAATAATATTTTTCCAAGCAAGTTCAACACATGTATTGATAGAAAAGCAGATTTTTTATATACTGGTTAAAAATGAAATATAAGCACCATATTCATGAAAACATTTTATTCTAAAAAGTTAATATTTGCGCTCTATGATCTACCATCAACATCTAGTAAAAAGAAAGAAGAAGACTGAATCAATCTAAAAGAATGTCATGAAAAGAATACTTTAGCAATGTGTCATGCTGACAACAAGCTGACAGAAGGAATAATTCAAAACAAAAGTTTGAGCTACATGCATTTACCGGTATGCAATTCTCTGATTCCTTTTACAATGCTGACTGGAATGATTGCTAATATTGTTTTGTGTTTGCTTCAAAAGTTAGAGAGTTCATGATCTAGGTCAATATCATTTATCTGTAATATATTATTTCCACCTCCTGTAATATATTAGTATTTTCCACCATCTCAGTATTGTTTCCTAGGTCTAGTATTCCTTTCTACATTTATCCCTTTTTTATTTCATAACAGACATTGTTATCCAAGGAGTGATCATTTGTTTCTTTTCTGATGAAATCCAAAATATACATACTATAATACTAAAATAGAAAACAAGTTCAATATGAAATATAAAGGCTAAAAAAATACCACAATAGATGTCTGCAACATCTCACCACGCATCAATTGACCAAAGAGATATATGGAAATACAATGTAAACGTATAGAGGGGGGGGGGGGGGTTGTGTTTGGCAGAATGAACATAAATAATGATGAAAAAGACTCCTAAAAAATGACAAGCATCATTTACATAAACAAGGGAGCAAATAACTCCTGTATAACATTGCATAGTTCTAGAGAATACTGTTTTTTAAGTTAATGAATATATATACATATGTACATCACACAGAAGATTCAAGTACCATACTTTCAGCTTGTACTTGTATAGAATAGGCAGCACCATTTGACATATCATGTATTAAAATAGCTTTTCCATTTCCTACCTTTCACCACATTGCAAATTATCGGGGTAAAAAATTCAAACATTGAACGTAAAAAAAATACAAAGACAGTAAGAACTACCATGAACATTCCTTGACATATGATATGATGTACACCATTTTTCTAAAATCATAACAGTATAAGACAATACTATGCATGTACGTCAAAATTTGGCTAAATGCTGATTAATCGAGGCTCTCAAGAACATGTCTATTTTATTTGATTTCTGTTCCAGACTATGAATAACAAAATGGAGTCAATTTTTGTTACAAAAAATATCAGTATCGATACCATGTATGACTTGGTCAATGGAATCTTATTTGTATTCCAGTGGTCCCAAGTAACATTGCATGAATCATGACTGTAAAATCGAGGCATAAAAATTGGCAGTGAGTAGATCTCCAATATTTCATACATCTCAACCTCGATCAGCATCACCTAAATTCTTCTAAGAAACCTAATAATAATCGTATTTAAAGCCAGAAAATGAATTGAATAGAATGCTTACAGGATGCTCTAGTTTACGTGTTGTAATCCTTTCTACTCCCGATTTGAGTAAATCCAGAAAATAAAACCCACCAATATTCCATCAGTATTAAAGCTCGATTTGCATCAAATAAAGAAAAAACACTCTATGTTATCACAATTGATACATGAGTCATTGAAATTTACTATCCACAAAAACAGGAATATATCGAAGGGGGTAGAAAATACTATAAAAAGTTATTTATCGGTAATGTGAGACATAAAATAACTGCACAGGCAAGAAAGCATCTAAGAACCCTGCATATACACTATCATTTTCATCTATCACTTTGGAACTACATACATGTATATCTATCAAAAATACGGTGTAATAACAAATGTTTGTCAGATCATCACTATGTGCACACACACACACACTATAAATCGCTAACTAACGTCACTCGAACTTCAAATTTGAAGCAGTGCTTGTGTCACAGGAAATATTAACCTTTTTCTGCCTCAGTGAGGATTTCTTTAGCAGTCAAAAGCACCGGCCCTGAGTTGAATATATGGCAGAAACATACTACACTACATGTAAATAGGAGTTGAAGCAGCATATATGCATTTGTGACTTTAATTGAGGTATCGAACTTGGGCAGTGTTTTTTTTTACGGGTAGTCCTTTTGCATAGTCATAAATTGTGATTAATTTGTGCATTTGAAAAAATTCTTTAAATAACATACAGGTAACTGAAACTGTTAATGACCTCATTGTTCACATACGAACTCTAACTCTTCATTTTTTTAGCATCTGTAAGAACCTATACAGAGGTAGACTGTTAACCAAGTTAACAAAAATTATATAGAAAATCCTTTCCTATTACAAAAGGGACACAAGCAACAATAACATATTTATGTAAAAAAAAAGCATAACATAAATAACATGAATGTGTTAGAGTTTGCAAGAGTTTCTATAATACCTCGTGTATAAAACAGTATAAAAGCCATATTTTTTAAAGATTCCATGTAGATTCCAACAAAAATATTTTTGTTGTTGTTGTTTTGATAAAAATATGCAAACACTTAATAACACCATATTAATGCAAATTGCTGGACTTGTTCTCAATACATGTACAAAGCAGAACAACAGAAAAGCATGTTATAAAAACAAAGTCTTGCATAACCAGAAGTTCAAAGTCTCAGGCAGTCCAAACAACACGACAGCAAAAATACAGTCAGAATTGCAGCATTCGTTGTTGAGTTTCAGAAGATCCTGAAGAATAGTCAAGCATTGGTCCATTTCTCTGCGTCATCTTGCCACGGTAGTCAAAACAAACAGAGCCTCTCTCTACATCCCTCCCTACCCCCACCCCCTTTAATGAACCCCCTCTCCCTTCTCCTCCCCACAATGGCCATATCTCCCACAAAAATATTGAGTTTTTTTTCTTCTCTTATATCAAAGTGCTGTATATAAAATATAAATTATCTCTGGTTTACTATAATACATCTTGTGATAAATAATAAAAATAGTATTTACAGCATGTACAAGACAATTGGAATAATCTACATGTCCCTGTTGAGGTAAAATAAGCGGGAAGAAATGAAAAGAAAGAACAAAAACACATGTTAATGTCTGTGACCATTAATTGTATAAAAGAACATCAAGATAATTAAAAGCTTAAAAATTTGAGTTCAATTTAGTCACTGATATAATGTACCTGTATAATTACTGACAGAAGCTACTGTGAGAACCGCCCGGTTAATATTGCTGTGGTATAGTCAAAAGTGACGTAATGTACTAAATTTCTTCGAAATGGTAAGGACAAAGAAAAACAGACATGATCAGAACAAGATATAGCAGGGGAAAATACATTAAAAATATGAAATTCAAAAATAATAATATGTGAAGAATTAGATGAATCCTGCATTAATTTGAACTCAACAATTACTTTTATACTGAGAACAAATAATGAATCTCATCACTCTAAAACAAAAATAAACAGCAAATTATGAAAGAATTTATAAAATATCTAGCCAAAATGATTAAGAGTATACATCTCACCTGAGTCATGATTGGAATGTTAGAGGTAATAATCTTCCGTCTCCCCTGTCTGGAAAACATTTTCCACAATATCCACCGCAGATACCACTAACTCTTTGATTAATCTGAAAGAACAAAAAGAAGAAACCATTACTTAATAAAAACATCTTTTTCATTTTTTCCATATAACATTCCTATTTGGTACAAGAAGTCCAATTCTGTCCAAATTGTTATTATTCAATTACTTTTCCTTTTTCATGTTACAAAATGAGCAAACTTCCTTTAAGTTGGGTTTCCCCTTTTGAACATACAGTACTGTCAAAAATCTTCCTTCAAATTAGGGTAAAGATAAAATATGTAACTGGAATGAAATAATTATGTACTAATCCTTCTCTGACTGTTTCACATATCCATGTCAAACTCTGATAAGTCAAAACTCCAGCCTATTCAAGGTACTTGAAACACGGGCAGTTTGAACGCCGCCCCCCCCCCCCCCCCCCCCTCTTATATATTTAAAAAAGTTATCTATCCACCCCACCATCACCACCAAAGCACTTCCCCTTGTAATGAAGCCTAAATCTTTCAATGTTATCATATCTTAAATAATACAAATTCCATGTTCTGGCTTATTATTAACCGTTTGTCACTAATAATTAACCCCCCCCCCCCCAAAAAAAAAAAAAAAAAAAAAAAAGTTAAAAATAGTAATCTTACTACAAGTCCTATCAAATAACTTACAGCATCTCTTGATATTTGTCTTGATACTGAGTGGCCTTCTGTTGACCAGTCTACATCTGGCGCCACCACAAGGCCTGTCCCATTTAGGCTCACATGAAAGCGGCCCTGGGGGCAAGGGACTACACTAAAGCAGTCTCCTGCCGTAGCGTAGGGTATAAAATGACCATGATGCACGGTGGCAAAAGTAGGATCATCGGCTAGAATTTGAAAGAGGTGGGAAACATGAATAAAATTGTGAATTTCTAGTAAGCAATGTTTATATGTGTTTTTATTTAACATTCATATCGTCTGTTTGAAGCCAAAACAAGCGTTATCCCTTTATACAGAGTTAACGTCCTTCTGGCTTAAAACTGATGATTCACCATTATGCTATTTTCAAATGATGAATAGGACATTCGCAGTGCAACCATACAGTATATATTTTAATCTATATTGTGAAGTTTGTATTGGGAACTGAAGTTCAGGTATAACACACAAAAAAACATTAAAAAAACATAGGCTTTTGTGAATGAAAAATATACAAAAGTCCACTTTTGAAACCCATTAACAAATCAAAAGATTTAAAAAAGGACATTTTAAAGCCAAATCATAGTGTAATGCCCATGACTACAGTTGATGCTGAATCAACCAAAATCCAATGATAATCAACTTTGAAGCAAATTTCTTCTTGAAAGTTCTATATGTGGACAGCGTTCAGTCACTTGATTATACTTGTATTTGTTTTGAACACATTTCTTTATGCATGGCAATTGCAATGCCCAATGCTTTATTTACACATTTTATGACAGAACTTGTACTTACTTATAACTTCTAATGTTGTAACATTTATTCTAATCTTGTTGAATGATGTTAGCCCCGGATACCGATGTCCATAGTTTGAGCATTCACAGTCGTCATTTCTTGCTCCGTTATTGGGGCAATAACTGGGATTTAATAACCTGGAAACAGAAACGATACATTGATACTTTTAATGTGTAACTATATTGACATAAATGATGAATAACACATTTGAATTACAGTATTTTCATTGATTACTTCATACTAATAGTTTTCTTTCAACCTTACCATTACAATTCATGAAATAATTTTGAATCTAGGGAATAAATATGAGCTCTTTTAAGTCCAAATATCCAGAACTAAATAAAGCTTACCATCGGCACCTATATACATGTATGGCAACAGAGTTTCTGTAGTATAGAAGAACACAGACTTATTTTTCTTGTTATATTTGTTCAAGTATAATACTTCATAGATGGGAGACAGGTATATTAATAAATACCGGTATACCACCACATCAGGAGTAGAGTATGGGCTTCAATGCAACCAAAAAGAGGAATGCCCTGTAACATAATCTATCCAGAAATTAAAACAAGTACCTAGTTAAAAGTGTCTTCAATAAAAAATGAAATCTTACCTTTTGGTATAAATTTCAGAATAGTTTTCAGCTTCTGAAGCTGGAAGTGTAAGATATTCAGCTGGATTGCTCCCTGCCATCCCATGACAGAATATCTGGAGCAGTCTACCCTGGATCAACATGGAATAGTCCCCATCCTCCTGGATGTTCTGTATCTCCTGCAGATCTCTACAACTCGTTGGTGGACCTGGAAAAAGAGAGGGAATTTAGATGGAAAGGTTAATTATCTCCTGGGTTTAATACATCGATAACAATTATGATTAGAAGACGATGAAAGATAACATGATGATAAATAAAAGTGGTGAAGATATAAAAGTATATCCGTTCATTCTTACTGCTGGATTCCTCATAAAAGATAAAGTGATGATTCTGTTGTGGAAATGACAAAAATAAGAAGAGAATATTATAGAGTGAATTACTTCCCTCTTCTCTTTGAGTACATTGTGAGACCCTTCAATAATAAATCATAAATCTACAAGCCTGTCATCGATAGAACATGTTATATGCATGTAAATATATCAAATACTTGAAATTATTTTTTAAATTCTGAAACTCCATTTTCAATCATCTGAGCAAATTGTGCAACTCCACACTATACGAGCAACCGGCTGGTCATTTAAACATGCAACATGTATCTATCAAAAACAAAAATCTCCCAAATTCCATCATTATCATTAAATTCGTAAGGTATAGATCCAGTAACTCTGAGAGCGGATATGGAGATCACTTGCACCTCTCATACAGCAATTACTTCTCCTCTTACACAATGTCCCTACAGATGTGGGGGTAATAGTTTCTAAATGCATCAGACAATAAACAAAGAGGCTTTTCATCTTAAACACCTAAGATACCAATAACCTTCCCACCTTCCCTGTCACAGTTAATCATCTCTCAGAAACTGAGATCTTTGTGAACACAGTCAGTACAAAAGATATATATTGTAAAGAAATATGTGTACATGGTAAAGTTATAAATTTAGTGTGCTACAAGAGTTTAGATCTCGGCAGACACTGGCACTATCATTACCCATCATGAGTTTAGATTTCAGAAATCGGATTAGAACAATAACTTTCATGGTGTGTAATTCAAATAAAATATGCTATTATGGCCCTCCTTAATGTTCATTTTGATGTCTTTCTACAAATGCAAGATAGGAAAAAGATGATTTTTGGCATTTCGGTTTGGTATGTAAATCTAATTTAACTCTTGAATGATGATGAAGGTTTTTTTCTTAAAGCAAGATCTGCCAAGGTCGATGTCTCTAACTTTCTAAATCCAGCCATCATAATAAAGCTTAATCTAGAAATAGCAATAAATAGTGTGAATGTAGGATTCAATTCAGAGTACACAACAAAACCATTCCCCAAAGATTGAATAATTAATTTTACCCCTCCCCCCCCCCAAAAAAAAAAACATTTAGAACACCTCACCATCATCATTATATCCCCCTCCCTCTTCCCAAATGATGATGTACAATGTCTTGGTAATGAACTGAATTGGCAGCAGTGTTAGATCTTCACAACGAACAACAGGCTCTCCTAACAGCATAGGGGGAGACAAATCCCCTTAGGGTGAAAAGGTTAACCCCTCAAACTCTCCCTAGGCTAACAATCGCACCCAATCATGGGTCTCCTGACCCCACTCTGCACTTCACCAGCAGTGGGAATTGGGTTTCTCTAAACCCCTATTGGGTCGGTAAGAATGCACCCCAAGGAGACATAATGTGCCTCAAATGCGGCAAGATTATATTACCCAAAAGCCCCCGGGGCAAGGTTCGTCTAATAGGGCCCCATTACTATGAAAAAATGTTGGCCTGCATGTGATTTAATACAATCACAGTGAAGTCTAATAAAAAGGAGGCAAATTAAGATATGAGGTGAAAGGGTTGTGAATTTATTTCTTACAATGTATAGAGATAAAGTTTCATCCTATGTTATCTTTTTGTTTATCAAGTACTGTTTAAAAGAAAAGATTACATTGGAAGTAAATGTGACCTGACATTTTTGCACACATCATCAAATATCCAGATTTATTTTCAGAAAATGAATGAATGAAATATATTTCAACAGGATATTAATTTTTCTTTATCTCCATGCATCAGAACGTATTGTGACAATCTTTTTGACTGAAGGCAAGTAAACATGGTTTTATTGGCAATCTGCCCTAGCAAGGAAATATGAAACATGGAGATTAAAAATAGTACATATTATCCTCCCTATGAGAACTAGGCCTCTTGATGCAAGAATTAAAGGTCTCCTTTTGCATCATAATCATTTTTGGGGCTTACTGGTAATAAAAGACCAGTCACTTGTTGGTTCTTCAAGCTCACATTTATACTTTGCAAATTTGTAGACCTTGAAAGTATATCATCTATAGGATCCTTAAAACAGTTGCTTTTACTTTACATGGGTTTCACCTATTAGAAATTGTTTCATTTCCTTATGACATTTACTTTTTCCATGTGACGAGCATGGAAAGAGTTACTTTTTTCCATGAGACAGAGAAACAGTTGCCTGTATCATGAAGTTTACAATCCGTGGGAGACTTTATATGCCCAATTTATCGATAAGACAATCAATTCGAAGTCAAAATTTCACTCAAGAAAGGCCATTCCCAGGACAATTGTCCAAAGACAAGGTGCACAAAAGGGGTTCAGAGAGATATTAAATGATTAACTTACATGCCCTACTGTTACATATCCTCTCAGTCTCTGGTTTGATGGCAGGATGACGGCAGAAACGATCAGGCATGATCTTCCCATGACGAGCCTGGCATTGAACCTTACGACGTTGTACACCATCTCCACAAGACTTAGAACACTGTAGAGAAGACAAAGTAACAGGTGTACAGAGATTCCATCAGTTATTGTGAAAGTGGTATAGTTACACCTAATGTAACATCTAATACAATAGGGAAAATTTTGAAGTGACAGTACTAACTAAAGTAATCGAAAGCATTCTAATATTATGCAACTTTGTCTCTACAAAGCCATTTCAAATTGACATACTTTATGCAAGATAATATTTGCAAATGCCAGAGAAAAGTTATGATCAAGATATAATCAGCATATTACTCTTATATGTAACTTTGTAGTTGTTGTTGTTTTGTTTTGTTCTCCTCAACACCATAATCATCACCATCATCATCACCACTACCATGATCACTATTATCACCATCATGACCACCTCGTCATCATCATCAATATCATCCACATCATGAATTAAATCCATAAATAGAAACAATGCCTTAAAATAAATATAAATTGATAGGGGCCTATCGTACCGTAGCCCATGGACCAATTTTCCAGTGGACATCACCGAAACATGTTCCCATGTTACATCTCCTGGTGGATTCAGGCTTGGTTGCTGGGTTACACGTACTGAGGTCTGATGGGATACGCCAACCATCTTCGCTCAGCTCTTGACATGTGATCTCCCGAATCTGCTCTCCAGCCCCACAGGTTCTTGTGCACTATAGACAAACAAATATGAATAATGGAGGTTAAATTTATACAATTTTGGACATCAGCTCGTAGTTTTATATATGATTTTTTTTCGAGAAAGATAAAAGATGGAATTTCCACTTTCAATATTCCATAAAATAATTAATTTTTGTTCAAAATTGTTTAGGATTATATTTTTTCATTGCTCATCATTTACAAACTTCTCTACATAAAATTCTACTGAGCTTGAAATGCCTCAAAGTTAACTGAAAATGCCAACTCACCTCTTCCCATAGCCCTTCTACCCAGAATGCTCCAGTGATGTATCTTGGAGGGCAAGGGTCAACATTGCACTTCCTCATGTGAGTGGGTTTCTTCCTGGTTGCCTGGCAGTATTCATCAGTGACCCTTCTACCTTTATTATCTTGACACCAAACTTCTCTTAGCTTTAATCCGCCTCCACAAGTCTCATTGCACTGGAAGCGAGAGGGGGAAAATGTGGTAATTCAAGAAATGTAGGGCAACATAATATGATTCCAAAGAGAGAACTACCAGTATTTCAATAGTTTAATTAACCTTGTAATCATCCCCTTCCTTACATCATCACTTTAGAAGTTTAGATCCATGATCATATCCTACAACCAGTATCTTTAGTTCAAATCCCAGTCTGGGAACCATATACATGATAGAAACTCATATGTAAGATGTAAGTCCATTGTATGAATAGCTAATCTTGATTGATACATATCCCTACAAACATGTAAGTAAGAATAAAAACAACAAAATGCAAATATTAATAATTTCACGCCTTGACCATAATACCACCATAATCATTATCATCACCATCACCATCACCATCACCATCACCATCACCATCACCATCACCATCACCATCACCATCACCATCACCATCACCATCACCATCACCATCACCATCACCATCACCATCACCATCACCATCACCACCACCACCACCACCACCACCACCACCACAGCCATCATCATCACCATTATCAATATCATCAACATTCAAAATTAACACCAATAATAACATCTGCAATCCTGTAACTGCATCTCACCTGGGTCCATCGCCCCTTCTTCCACCTATAGCTCGGACAGGAGTTTCTCCGACACGACTTACTGGTCCTTGGTAGCTCCCCCGGGCACAGACTCGAATTCACCTCTTGGTTATTACTGGCGCACACCACCTCCCTTTCCTGGGTGCCCCGCCCGCAAGTCACTGAACACTGAAAATAATTATGCATAAAAAGAAAAAGAGTGAGTGATATCAATGTTAGATATAATGTGTGAAAGCTCTGAACATGTGTGATGAGCTTTGAATTTCTGTATTTACCACAAAAATATATATAAACAACCATGTTAGATTCAGAAAACTCACAGAATAAGGAGGATTTCTATCGTAAGGTATAAATGAACAATATTGCTGAGGGGAAAAAATAGTAACACAAATATGCATTAAATACAGTGAAATAAAAATATCCTGTGTTGATTCAGAGAGCATTGACGAGGCAATAAGCTTTTTAAAATGTCCTATCAGCAATATAGATGTTTACTATTCGAAATCCAGAGAGAGGAAGAAGAAGAAAGAAAAAAAAAATCACTTTCCTGGGTACTTAACCCCTTTCCCCTTGTTGTGAGGTATAAAATGAGAGAAAACAAATTAGTTTGTTTTGGTCTTTTTGACATGTTGATACTATTAACTCTGAATATATGGAGAGAGCATGTCCCTGGAGGAGGGGAAGAGCACATTCAGGATGACTCCATGAGGGAATACAAGATGGAGGAGAGCAAGGGCTGGCTGGCTCGGGAGGGACATGATGAAGAGGAATGAGTTGAACTCTGACCTCTAGGGAATGTTGTTAGGAGGGCCATCATGTCATCGTATGAGACCCCATGGGGCCTGGACTGAGCTGAAGCCCCATATATCAGCATTCAGCTGAAAGTGTCATTCTCGCATACTTGGGATGAGTTCAACCAAGATGGCAGAGAGGGGATACAGAGTGTCTGGTCTGACGAGATGGGCACATAGATAGATAGATAGATAGATAGAAGACAGATTTAAAGGGGGATGATCGAGGCACCACAACATTTTACACTACCATGATGAAAGAAAAGATGAATCTCTAAAGAAATTAGAAGTTAGATAAGATGGATAATGAGAAGAATTAAGGGCTTTTATAGAAAGTAGGTAGAATTAAATATTTCGCTATACTACATTTAAAACTTTCCTACTCTTGCTCAGCTGCTCATCTGATGGTTGTGATATCATAGTGCATTACATTATGAATTAATAAAGCTTATTAAGGCAATATCATTTCCTTCACTTAGGCCATGTGAGGCAGGAAGAAAATGTACTTAAATACTGAACCGTAATTTTATTTCTAATCTCTATCCCTCTTAAAATAAGAATTCTCAAATCAGGTGAGCTTTTCTTCACAACAAGCATATTTTCACGAAAGATTTCACCATAACAGATTTCTTTTCATAAGATCATACAAACAAGGAATGTGGTCCAGTTGTGATCCCACCATGGAACTACTCTAGGACCAGGATCTCAACAGTGTTGATAATGCAGTTGCCATGGAAACACAATTCTTTCATTTTAACTCCTCTTTGATTTCTCACCTCATGCTGGGACCACAACAGATAAAATAATTCAATTTGTCACCCTTTCAAAATGGGAGAAAAATATTTGAAAAAAGAAAATGCACATATTGGGAGACTTTTACCAAGAAACTGTGCTTTCTTGAGAACAAATCATACAAGGAATTATTCTAAGGGTCTTGGGATATGATCTTGAAATTATGGAAATGTATGAATTACAATGAAAACAGAACCATAGGAACTGCAAAAAAAACCCGATGAATTTCATTAAAATTAGGGTATCCCCCATTGAATTACTTGGTCTGATCACTCCTGAATTGTTCATTACAGGTGGATTGTAATGGATTGCAAAGTGGATGATAGGTACAGCAAGTTACACAACTACATAATTATATTCTTAATAGGTGTGTTTTCCTATTAAATAGTTCAACCCACCTCTCCCCAATCTCCTGATTTCCATTTGGCACACGATGGTTTCCTGCATTCTCGTTCAGTTGGAGGCTTCTCCTCGCCCTCGCATTCAGAATCCACAGCCAGGCTACCGTCTTCATACTGGCAGACGACGATACGAGTCTTCAGACCTTTATCACAAGTTACAGAGCACTGCATGAAGAGACAAAATATAAGAAGGAAAAACATGTATGAAGTTATATATGAAAATGTATTACAAAAAATATTACAATTTCTGAGGAACAAAAAAAAATTGCCTGAAAGTCGACGCTCAATGAAGAATGTGTCACAAAAAGAAGATAATATAGGCCCAATTGTTGAGATTGAGGAAGAAATATAAATTTAAAAAAATCACACCATTGTGTCACATTTGTTTGACAGCTTGAAGACTATGAAGTCATAGTATAAATTTCCTGAGCATCACTTTGATGATAATCTTTACACCAAGAAGTCCTAAGCCTGTCTTCAGAGTTGGAATAAGAGAAGAAATTAATAATGCAACTACTGATATTTTCAAGAAAAGGAAGCACATTATTTTGAGGTATACAGGTGAAGGGAAGAGTTTCATATATCTTGTGAAATATGCTTGTCAACCATTATTGAATTCGCATTTATTTCGTTCTCGATTAAAAATTACATTGATACAAAAGATACAAAATTATTCATGAACAAATTTAGAAATGAAATGGGGAACTACATAAATAAAGCCCTTAGGCCTTGTACACGCATAGTTCCCAAAGCATTCATAGCATATACATGTATGTATGTAGTATGTATTATACATACACATACACATAGGTCAAAATATGTTAAATTACTTCAAGAAATATGATAGTTAACAAGAGTCAACTGGAGAAGTTACAGGTAGAGAAGAAAAAAAGATCTTACCGGTTCAAAGACAGTTCAAGTAACAGTTTTCAAACATGGTAATGACCGACAGCGACTTGGGATAACAAATTGGCAACATGATGAACGGCATAAAGATGATCTCCTTGATGCTACCACAAATTGATATTAGACGGGGGCGCTGTGGGCCAAGGAATTCCAAACTGTTGCTACATACATTGTTTATTGTGCCTCAATAAACCATCTCTTGGTTGTGCACACAAACAGACAGTCTGAGGAGTCAGGAGGCCAAACACCTTAAACTCCGAGGAAAGATGGAGTAAAGGCCAATATGGAAGGGAGATGATGTGAAATTTATTAAATGTGGTGGGTAAGAAGAGGGTCTCTACATTAATACAAAATGACATACTGGAAAGTATCTCGTTCATTGGAAGCAAATGCATTGAAAAAAACATATTGAGGGCAATTCTATGGTACCATGAATACAACAACCCTGAGTTTAAATGACCTAAATATATTGTCAAAACTTAGGCTCCATGCAACAAATCATACTGTATCATAAATCTGATATTGAGATACAAAGTCTGATTTACAAATATTCTTACAACTTGAAAAATTCCCATAGTAAATGATTTAAGTTTCTGAAAGATACTGATAAACCAGAAACTTTTGCATCATGGAATTCCCATTAATGAGTGTTTCTGAAGATTAAAACTCAATCTCAATTAGTATTTTGCAGTTTCAGCTTTTGATTTTTAAAACTGTGTTATAAAATCAACATCCTTGCCAGAACTTTATTTTTCTCCCTAATTTAAATGTTGTAACCAAGACTGGAGTATATAGATTATAGAGTCAGAAACAGTCACTGAGCATTTGCCAACTAGGACACGTACGGAGACCTTTCAATAATTCCTTTGCTTGGGCTCACAAAACTAGCTCTCCTCTACCCATCTGCTAGCCAGATGTAGCGGTGAATCTATTGATAATGAAATGCATGCTGGGCGGAACGGAAGTAGAGAAGTGATCCACAAGAATGTACATGCACATGCCCAGACCTTCGGATTAATGAACAAAAGTACTGATCGCCCCATTTTCTTTAAAGGAGCAAGTTGTGCAGAATTGGGAAATCCTCCCTATTTGTAATATCATTATCTTGTAAAATAGGGCCTCATATACATTGAGCATCGATGCTCATATATTCTTAAATTTGACAGCTGGCGTCAAGTAAGATTGATGCTAATCAAACTCCAAGTTGAGGAGAAGCACATAACAGTCCCATCTTACATCAAGAATAAATACATGTATTTTTTTATTTTTCGATACCTCTTTTTGTCTTTTTTGAACATCTGTTCGCAACATACTGCTTCAGTTTCAGTTAATATATAATATGAAATATAAAGGATCACCCTGCATACTCTTTAAAGATTTTTCAAAAATTGCCTCAAATCTACAGTAGATGTTAACTTCAATGTAAAATATATGAACAAATGAAAAACAAAAGATTATTTAAGAATGAAATTTTTTTAGAGGGTGATTTCATACCCGGCATCATTTAACATCATTTTAGTCTGATAATAACTGATATCATTTTTTTCTTAAAATCAATGAAATTGTGTGAGATTTTTTCCTATAAGTATGATATCATTCTCCTATAACCCTTTGGGAAAGTTCATAGATTCAAGTCAGATTGATGCTAAATGACTCATGTATTTTATTCAAGTTAAATTGTACCTTTAACTTCTGATTGGCCGTTGCATGGCCGATTCCAATGAAATACCAGAGCAGCAGCCTCAAAGTTGATCACATCATCTCTGGAGGATTTAGTCTGGAATTCTTACCGATCTACAAACAAAGTCTTCCCTCCAAACATGTTTGCTTACCTAGGGATTGTCTCTAAATGTCTGTTATTCCAATAGAGCAAACATGGTCTAGTTCTATACTAGCAAATACCTCAAGCAGGAGAGCTAGTATATAATGAGTATTCATATTGAAGAAGATTCAAAAGAGGTGTAAAATAATAATTGATTTCTAAACCAACATAACATTAGGTTCCTCCTAGATAAGAAAATGGCATCGTCATGGTAACCAGTCATCAAGAGATAGCTCTACATCATCCATGATGTCAGACGGCAGCAGGCGACAAACCAGATTGTTCTCTTTAAGACCCCGCCCCCAGTCTGCCCCAGATTGGTGAAGGTGAGATTGTCAATTCCCATGGAGACAGAACTAACAAGATCCCTACCACCCTATCTGGTTGTAGGATTGTTAAGTTGTGTGGATATGGCCATTTGAAGTCTTAATTTTTACTTTGTGCATGATTTCATGAAATTCAATGATTTTCATCCAATAAAGGAGCATGTGATAGACTTTCTTTTTAAAAATAAAGACAGATTTTGTTATTTTATTTGGTTAAAATTTGTTTTCAATTTTGATTGTGATGCAATAGAAAGATTTTTTATCTCAAAGAAGGCAAAAATAACTGGAATCTCGTCCACTTCTCAAAAAAAAAAATGAATCAAATTCCTTTCACTTAGGACCAAAAGGTGCATCCATACCCAATTTAAATGACCCATGGCCTTTCACTGTCACGCAAGCAGCTCTGCAAGCTGTGATGCATGCTGGGATACACGGCAGACAGCTGTTTATCTTCCCTGGCAATCCCACTTTGGCATGTCTACTTGAACCCTGATACGTGGAGTCGGGAGGTCAGGTTGTAAACTTGCACCCTAAACCCAAACTTTCATCACTTATTCTTTCCTCCCTCTGGCCCACCTTGGCAGGTGAAATGGGCTGTTGAAAACAAGGAGGGCATCTTAAAATCTGTCGTGCAAAGCAGATTTTAAGGGTCAACAATTTTCAGGTAGAATCTGAAAAAACAGTACAAAACATCACAAAGAAATATAGCCCCCAAAGTAGCCTGTGGCCGAACAGCTTCATGCATACTAGAGAAAAGAAGACTCTTCTGGGTAAAATCATGTATTTTTCTCCACAATGAATTATTTTAAGATCACCTTTCTGTAACAATGTTCTATTTATCTCTTCCTGTCATGGTCGATAAATTTCACAAGTTGCTAAAAACTAAATATTGCAGAATTTTCAAAACTTTAGCTTATGACTCTCCCCCCCCCTTGATTTTGTATCTGTATTTTTTTTCTAGGGGGGGGGGGGAGCTTCCTGTAAATAAGTCCCATGTCAGAGAGGTCATATTTTTTCTATAGCCCTTGGCTGAACACTTCTGTCTAGTTTTAAATTGCTGAGGAAACCCTTTTCACAGTGATTTGTGGACAATTGGTGCATTTGAAACACCAATGGGAATTAAAATTCTTTAATATATGCAAGTCATGACAATCTACAGGCATATATGCCTTTCAATGGATAAGGAAAGGGCAGAGTGTAAGCAAGGCTTGGCCACTGCATCAACTCTGAATGCGGTAGACAAGATGAATGTGAAGCAATATTGTGACGTGACAACGAGATAAATCCCTATCTTCACTAACGACATCGTAGCAGTTGCTCCTTATCAGTCTATCTGTCCTCTGTTTTTGTAAGAAGCCAGTCCTTACTGGCAGGCTTATCATGAAGACAAATGATGATAGGTAGAATATATCAAAAGGGAAGGAAAAAATATTGAAGTCAGTCTTAACGAAGCCTGACTAAAATCACAAAAAATATTGAGTCCTTTTTGAACAGCAAAATCTAAATGTTGAAGAAAGAAACAAAATTTGACTGATGCAAACAGGCATTATAAGAAATTATAACCTTTCATGCATTCAATTTCTTTTTTCGGATTTCCAAATAAGACTTCCGTCCTTCTTGTATATTCAACAAAACTAAGATCCTCATTATGGAACTAAAGTTATACAAAAGTTGACAAGCTTCAAAATAGTTCTGGTGAAAAAATATGTATATTTAAACTTTATGCAAAGAAATCTCACTTTTACAAGTAGTAACAACAAAAGAGCTTGAAGTTAAACCAAATTATTTTGTAGTTATTCCACAATTCACAACTTGCTTTATAAGCCAAGAAAACTACCTTGATTTAATTTGATTCAAGTGGATGACTGTGCCCTGCACTAAAGGCTGTGGGACTTTGTGTCTGAAATCCATCAAAATACTTGACAGAAAACACAAATGAATGTTGACAAGCCAGCAGTTGGCAGAGAAACCCAAGACTTATTACAGGTCACACACACTCTTGTATAAGCATATGGTAGTTAGCACTCCCTGCCATTTACTTGTACAAATTTTGAAGCTTCATAAACGTTAGATGTTGATTTATAATACTGCTAATTTAAGCGATCCCAATT